GAGGGGAGCAGCGGGCTGGTCAGGAGAGGTCTGCCGCGCCATGTGGTCACCTCCGGAGCAGGTGGGGATCGAACTCATGCAGTTTAAGCTTCTTAGTGCAGTGCTTTAACCCGCTGCACCACCAGGGAGGGCCCCTTTCTATGTTTTTAACCAAAGCATTTAGAAATACATCATTAGTAGGGAAGTTCCATATGTGAAAAGTTCTCAGGTAGGTGTTTTGTGTTTAGACTTGGGGGTTTAGAGTTAAGAAAAGATATTGATGTTGAAATAGTGCCCATAATTTCAAAGAGAATGACAGGAACATCAGAGACAGAAGTTAATCAATAATATTTACGTAGCAGTGGAAATGATATGGTGAAGCAACAGAGATTATATGGTAATAAGAATGATACAAGGATTAATACTACAGGAATTTTGTGGGAATTTAGTTGAAGTTGAGATTTCTATAAATTAAAATGATCAGTCCAGCTGGCTACATCTGAATACTCTAGAGACCTGCTTTAATGGCACAAGAAGAGTACCCATGCAGGACCCAATTTCCAGGCCTGATTTAATTCTTAGAGACCATTAAATGAAGGAAATTTCAACTCTTCTTGAGAAAGGACTGTATAACAGCAAAGGTACTGACTGAATCTTCTTCAAGTCTACCATTCTGTTCCCTCTTATTATAACTGACTCATTTTGTTTACTTATTTTTATATTCTTGTATTATTTATACCTCATAAACTGTTTAAAATCCCTTTTTTAATCCAGAGAGACTACAAATTAAAAACTGAAAATCCATATAGTGATTTTTATGTCATTTGCCATTATTATTTTTCAGTAACTTTCTTTTGAAGTATTCACTTACCTGTGGAATCTTTGATATGTGGATTCTCCTTAATTCCACTTAAGAAATCTTTTAAATCCACCTCATTATTATCTGGAAGGTCAAAATTAAACACACTAATGTTAGAAACCTGATGCTGAATAGACACATGAAGTAAAGTCTCTGATTTACAATGTTATATAGAATTCCATTCTAATTTATGTCTGTCTCAAATGATTGAAACTATTTCAATAAAACCTTTCATATTTTCCACACCCATTGAGAGGTTAATAACACAAGTAACTGACATTATTTGAGTTCTTATTCAAAAGTAAGAAGTTAAGTAACCTTTGCATTCTTTGTATCTACTAAGCATCATTTTATGGTGCTTTACATTTATTATCTCATGTCATTTTGACAATCATTCTATGGTACACAAACCCTTACTTTGCCTATTTCTAAAATATGAAGCAATGAGAGATTATTTAATTTGTCAGGATCACAAAGTCACTTCTTACTGGTTTGGATTCTATATTTATACTGCCACTATGAGTACCCCAATTCAAGAAGTAAAAATTGATCCAAGTCAATAATAATCTGTAGTGCTTGGCAATACTAACCAAACTGCTGGAGAGACACTCTCAAACCCAGAACTCATGGGGTTCATGGAAAAAACAAACTAGTTAATAAGGTAAGTGCAAAATAAAAGGCCACCTAAAACCAATGAAATTGATCAACTTGATTTGATTTTATTTTTTTAAGAGTGAATGTGTCGAAGATAGGAAATCAAATCCATATTACTTAAAGCCCATGATGGAAAACAAAAGTAAGTATGGGCCACTTGGAGGCAAAGTCCAAAATTACATAATTGTTCTTTTAAAATACAGAGCGCCTTCAGGGATTTCCTTGGGTTAAAAAACAAAATGGGACATGCACTCTAAAGGGAAATTGAATCTCCTTGGAAGAAAGATTACATATCAAAATGAAACTGTTAACATTCTGAATTGTTTTATTAGATGATGTTTGGTACTTTCCCACCCATGCTTTAAGTAATGAATGGTAATTTTCTAAATAAGCCTATACAGTACCCAAATGAGAATGGATAATTAAATATGACTGATAAATATATTTTTAATTGAGGCAACATAGATTTACAATGTTGCTTGTGATCTGGAGGTACAGGATTTCCCCTTTTATGGTAGGTACCATCCTACCCACAGTCCTCCTCACCACTGTCATTTTGCTCCTCTCTCCTCATGCTCCCACTCTGATAGCCTCACTTCTATAGCTGCTGACTTGACTTTATCTAGATTTGAAAGGATGTGAGTGCACCATGTTCATGGCAGCACGACTCACAATAGCAATGCCAATAAATATTTACATCCATAATGTGCTTTGATATTATTTTGTGTCAAGCCAAGTATCCAGTATGACTGCCATTAGCATCTTACCCTCACATCTGGTCTCTAAGACTGCTTCCCACATAGAGGGGGAAATGAAAGCAATCTCTAGTCAAAAAGATGCTCACCACTGACGTTACAATATTTAAGAGCTTCCCTGAAGTCCTCTTCAGCTAAATTAACATTCAAAGCTTCCAGGGCATGCTCCAAGGTAGGTATGCCAATCTTGCCTTTACTGGCATGTGACAAGATATAAGCAGCTTCCCTAACATCTACAATGATAAATATATACAAAATATTACTGTTCTTAAAAATGCAAAAATGTTTGTCCGCATTCCACTATAACCTCTCAAATTAAATATTTATTTTAACCAAATATCTGCTGGGGAAAAAAAAAAGCCAAACATGTTCTATTTGTAACCAACAACCACTTATTTCAAGCAGCATTTGAAAACCAAAAATTTTTGGCAAAGACAATGTGGTGGGTTATCTGAATCCATTCATAAATAAAATACTAAATGAGCTGTAAACCCTCCTTAGTTATGCCCAGTAGATCTAAAGATTTCTACCACCTGGTGAGATAAATGAAGACGAAATTTTGAGATTGAAGCTTCTGATCCCAGGGCCAAGTTCACATTGTTTTGTGTGAATCAAAAGCACACACCCCCTTTGTATGTATTCACTTTTAAAAAGCACCTTGCTCTGGGGGCTGCAGTCTGCTGCTAGGGCTCGAGGCTGAGAACTGCTCTTCAACCTCCACTTTGTGTAAGGCATAACCCATACAACCTAAAAGAGCAACCCTGAGGATGCCAGGCCAATTTAAAATATAAAACATGAACATTATTAGGTGTGCATTTCGTCATCATTTCACACTCCATGTCTCCCTCAAAATAAAATTGTTGTATATTCCATAGTCCAAAAATTGTTGCATTACAACCCTCAGACCTAAGTCTTCATGGAGGTCACTTGAAGAAAAAGGTATCATTATACTGTACTAATCCTACATTCATTCTACTAACATTTATTTTACACCTATTAGAACATGAAATAAAAATGCTCTTATCAAAGAGTCTCTTGTAAATTCCTTGAGGACAGGGGCTGAATCTATAATGTCTATTAAAAAATGACAATATATTGTATAGTTGTTACTATCAGAAAAATGTGCACAAGGTATTATGAAAGCACTGATTTAATGAATAATCACTCTGGCAAATGTTACTGGGTGGGAAGTGATGTATGTGCTGAGTTTGGTAAGGAAATATTCACAAGGCAAACAACACATGCAAAGGCATAGAACCAGAAGAAATAGAGTTAATTAAAACATATCAAATACTACGGCTACAGAATAAACACAAACATAGAAGCATTAAGAAATAAGTCTAAAGACTCATTCATTCATTCACTGCCTATTTACCACTTTATGAGATAACAAAAAAAAAAAGGTTTGGGACAACGCCTGGTAAAATAAATACTGTAAGTCTTAATATTACTATTAGCTATTTCTGAGAAGCTGCTAGACAGTATTGTGCTAGGATCTAGAGAAACAACAGTCAGTCAAGTGGCATCATGGCCCTTTGCCCGAGGTCACATCTAAACAAGTAGAAAAAGAAACATTAATCAAATAATCAAAACTATGAATGAATATTTACAATATGAAATGAGAGCTACAATAGATATGGTTAATATGAGAGTATCACAAAAGGAAACTGACCTAGACTAGCAGATAATGATAGGCTTCTCTGACAAACCAGACCCTCATCTGAAAGATGAGTTAGCATTAATTAGACAGAAAGGGCCAGGGAAGAATATTCCAGGGAATATAATATGCAAAAACCTCGTGGCAGAAGGAAAATAGTTTATCTGAAACTTGAAAGGATGTCTATATAGTTGAAATACAAAAAGCAAAGCTAATGGTACAAAGTTATGACAGTGAGATAGGGGGAGCAAGAGTTTGATCTTTATGCTAACTAACTAGGATGGAAAATATTTAAAGTGTTATTAATAGGTTGAGGTAACATGATCAAATTACTATTTTGGGAAAAACTCACTATGGAGTGGGCAGAATGGACTAGAAACTTATACAACTAGTACTTGACAATAAAGAACAAAACTTTCATAAGGAATGTAAAAATAACTTTTATGAGTTACATTTTTCTCATTAATATATAACGTTCTTACCATCAGCTTTTGGCAATTTCAGATTTGAAGTTAAAGCTTCTTTCCTAAAATCTGCAGATTTAAAGAAATTACACCATGGGTAATAGCTCAACCTAGTATGAAAGGAAACCAATGAATAATGTGATTAAATACTTCAACTCTCAATAACATTTATCACTGATGACCATTCCCGTCTCAAAAATCTTCCTCTGGTTTCCAGAACTTTATTCTCTCTTCACACTCTTATTCTTTGACTCCTCCATGGATTTGTCATCCTCCAACAGGGCCTTAAATGTGGCAGAGTTTCTAGTGCCACTGATACTTCCTTTCTCCTTATGAGGGTAGTCTGAACTGTCCTTTTCTATATCTGTTTCTCAACCTTTGTATTATCTGTCTAATCCCAGTCTCTTTCCTGAAGATAAGTGGTAGTTCCCTCTTTCATCTCTCACACCTCCTACCAGAAATGCAAATTAGTACAGAGATTTATTTTAGATACAAGTAATAAAAATAAAATCTTTCCTTTTGCATAGATGAAACATGTTAGTGGACTGGGAACTTTTATAAGCGAACTCTAAGACAGCTTCCTCAACCTCAGCATAGTTAACATTAGGACCAGATAATTATTTGGGGGCGGAATTACCACCCTGTACCCTGGAGGATACTAAGCAGCATGACTAGCCTCTCATCACGATGTCCAGCTATACACCTTCATCACTTTTAACCACCAAAGCTGCCTTTGGACTTTGCCAATTGTCCGCTGTGATGCAAATTTGATTTTACTTTTTAGCTGAAGCTAAATTTAAAGACAGGAAATTAATTTCTAAATATGGGCAAAATCCATTTGGGTATATCCCAGATGAGAGTATAGATTGGTGAAGTAAATTCTCTGTAAACAGCAACTCAATGCTCTATAGAGTGTTATAAAGGCAAACATGTGAGCCTAATTTTTCAACAATAACTTGCGCTTCTCAAAGGGCCTTAAAACCTTTTATCCCTAAATTTGATCTATAGTTTTGGTATTATTTAGGAATTTGTATTTGGTGAAATAATTTGACCACTTGGATAAAAATCTAGCAGAAAGTTTTATTATAAGCTCTTATTTAACCAACTCACCCTGAATTGAGGAATCATCCAGTTTTTCTTGAAGAGTATGATCAATGGAATTAATTTTATTGGTGTTTTCTTGTACATCTAAATACTGGTGCTTGTCAGACTGGTTACTTTCTTTCATGTAGTCCAGTGTTTTCATGGCTTCATTCAATGCTACAGAGAATATACATACAACATGAAATTCAGTCCCTAGGACCTAAAGTTGTGGAACAAAATAACAAAACTGATGGGCTCTTCTAGATTTTCACTGTCCAAAATGGCAGTCATTAGCCATAGCTGGCTGTTTAAGTAAGTCAAGCAGCCTATTCTCCACTCCTAGTTTTCTATAGTTCCTTATTTTTATCCTTAAAAATATGTTGTTAAATATCCTTTATGAGCTGTTCCTCTGCAAACAAAAATGTATCTAAGTGTCTCTAGTTTTCCTATTAATAAGCTCACCATTTTAGTAAATTACCCTTAATTCTTTATAATGGCTCTCAAGCCCAAAGCCTTCCCTATGCCCTTTGCTCTTTTCAGCTAATTTCACCCAATTTAGAGAAGCATCATAATCTATCATGATTAGCAAATTAACATTAACTATTCAGATTAGGAAATTCATGCTCGATCTCTGCTAGTTTTAAAAAGAAAATTTCACATTTCTAAAATATTTATTTTTAAAAAGTCGTCCCTCAGGATTCATTAAAAGAAATGGATAATTACTTTAAAATAGCTAATGTAGAAGTAAAAATCAATACAGTATCTTGTTCTATGACACAGCGAGTTAACATAGTTCAAAATCAGATCACATGAGTTGAAGGGAAATTTGAGTCTAAAGAAAAGATGACTCCATGAGAAGGAAAGAAAATATATGTATCCTCACATCTCCTGCTGCAAGATCCCAAATGTTAAACATGGCTCAGGGATGGAATTGCTAAGCAAAATCTGTGGAATAATTGCCTACTTTCATAGCTATTCAAAATTATGGAACAGACTGCCTCAAAAAACTTACAAGGATTGATTGACAAGACAATGGATTGAGTATACATTACATTAATCTATTCCTGAAACCCACTAATTTATTTTTTAAATGAATATATAAAAATTGAAGAAACTCCACATCTACTGCACTAGGAAGTTATCAAATCCTCGACTACTGACCTCATCCTCTGATCAGAAGATTAAAAATAGAGAAGGTAATGAAATTCAAATTTCTCTGAAACTTAAAGTTTTATTTTAAAGAACTATAATATCAAAGAGAACATAAAAATACAAATGGAAATATTTAAAAAAAAACAACAATAACAATTATTTGTTAACCGACTGTTAACCGAACCAGTTTCACAAAAATGAAAAAGAAAGCATTAAATATATTTAATTCCCACCAAAATAAAGTAAATTAATAATTCAAGTAATTTTTAAAACTACAAAAATGGGCAAAAGGGAATAGAAAGGAATTTTACGAAGATAAAAGCAGAAGTTAATTTATAATTATAAACAAATACTAACGGTAAATGTAAGAATTAGTGCTTCAAAGAGAAATAAATGTTTGTTAAAAACAAAAAAAGGGGATATAGATATTTGTATATATATTCAAAAAAAGAAAATAACTAGATACAAAAGAATCAAATTATCAGTACATAGGACTGTACTAATATTCTAAAATTAAAAATTTCCTAGGAGAATAAAAGTTACCATAACTGGCAAAATAAGACAGAAGATGTCAAAAAAGGGCAAATATATCAAAAATAAAGTCAAAGATGAATAATAAACTAGAAAGGTCGTGCAATAGATAAAATATTAGTACCTTTAATATATAAAATATTTTTATATACTTACAAATTCATATGAAAAAGACAACCTTTAAGGCATCACTAGAGCACATTCACAAAATGAAAATATGTTAACTCACTACTAAAGAAACATATTTTAAATCAATAAAAATGTTTTCATCATTATAATTTTCAATAAACATTACCAAGTGTCAAAGTATGAATTCTTACAACACTTTAGGCGAGTAATTAGGTAGTAGCTGTTAACGCCTTAGAAATGTATATCTTTTAGTCTAGCCGTTTGACTTCCACCGAATTTATCCTACAGGAAAATGTTGTGTACATGTGCACAAAGATATAGATGTATATATATACATGCATGTTCATCAGAGTGTTTGCAATAGTGAAAGATTACAAACTAAATTTAGGGGTAAAAGATTACCCCTAAATATTCATCAAAAGAGTTGTAGATAAAGCTATAGTCCATCCCTATCACAGAATATTATGTAGTCCTTAAAAAGAATGAGGTAGCTTATATTACCTAATGGAACAGAAACAAGTTAATTTTTTAAAGTAATTGTAGGATATTATGGACATAGTAGCCTAATTTTTAAATAACCAGACAAAACATATGTTCACAGATATAATTTTTTAAAAAGCTTCAAAGTATATCAAACACTAAGTGACATCTGCAGAGAGATGTACTTTGTATTTCGCACATTCCTGGTCAATAAATTTTTATAGTATTTCAAAAATTATTATTAGCATATAATAAGGGCATTTTAATTTCAGGAAAAGAGCACAAACTTATGATTTTTCTAATCATTTTAATCACAAATGCACAATTCTTAAAAGAAAAAAAAAATGTAGTAAAGCTCACCATAACTGGGAGCGTTGAAATACAGATGAAACAAACATTTGGGACAGATGACAAAAAAGATTCAAGTTCAACCATAAACTCTTACCAATATAATTGGAAAATTTCTCCATGTCTCTCAAAGCCTTCACACAGTCTTTAACATTAATCATGCTGTCTTCTGTAAGAAAAAGAGAAAGTTCACAGACAAGAACTCCTGGACAAGGTAGTATTAAACAGCTAGTATCAAAATAAAAATCAGCATACAACTCATATTTCTTGAACACTTTATAAGTCACCTTGAGCTCATTTTTATCCATTAAGCAATAGCCCTACAAGTTTATAAACCAGTTTTGATTCTATCTGTAAGGGAACCAATATACCAAGATAAGTGTAAGGACCAATAACTTCACTCTGTTAAAGGGGCAAAGTTAGAGTTTCTAGTCACAGGACCTGAATTCCCAAAGATGCCAACAACTGAAATCCCCACAAAATTCCAACCTGCTTGCTCTGCAGACATCTCATAACTGCCTAGGAGAAAATTAAGACTTACTTGGGAGATAATGTTTACAAGAACATAAGCAATAACCTATAGATATTTGCTCCACAAAGAAATCCCATTGGCTTGAACAAAGACCTTGCACACTTACCTACTAAAAACAACAAAAAAGCAAAAACCCAGACCGTAATATATAAATACTTACCAGAAACAAAATCTGATTGAAGAATTTTCTCTGCCTCTTCTTTAGGTGACTTAATCCCAATATTTCTTAGAAAACCTTCCAAGTTCCTCCCAGCTATCATGTCACCTTCAAGCAAATCAAAAGCTGAGACAACTTCCTTTAATTCTAGAAATAGAAAAAAGTTACTTGGTAATTGAGCTAGCCTCTGATTTAAAAAAACGACAGTAGCCATTACTAAATGCATTTGTCGGTGGCAGCCATGGCTTCTATCACATCCCACATGGTGGAATAAGAAACTCAGTGAAGAATCCAGCCCTCAGGAGATTCTACTCCAGCAGCACAATATACAACTATTTCTTAGTCTGTCATGTTTTACAGATACTATTATAAATTGGCATAACAAAAGTAATTGATATAGGTGAAATTTTCACTGCAGTTGTACCAAGTAGCTATATTTCCATTAATCACTTATGGTAGCAAAAAATTAACTCATTCTTATTGAGGTTAATTTTAGAATCAAGAAAAATATAAAATATGAAATGGATATCACAAGGACTCATTCTCCTCTCCTTCTCAATTCTACCAAAACTGAAACATAACCCATTATCTGGAATTTTGCTTTGTTCCCAGATCATTCAAAGGAGGCAGGATCAAGTCTGACAGGTCTGCATTCCAATCTAGCCCCCAAGACCTGTGACCTACAGCAAGCTACTACTCTGTGATCTTACTATGAAGTCCAATTTGAGTCTCACACCTAGTAAGAGATGATAATGAAATCTACTCACAACATTAACATGGAGCATAAATATGATAATACAGAAAAACAGAATAATATTGGACTTATACTATTGGCTTAACAAATGTTATGTAGTAGTAAAACACTTATTATTATTATAGTTACCAACATGAACCAGCTGCAAACAGCAATCGTTGCGTCTTTGGGAGGCAGCTGTAGATGGCACCCTGTGCTTTGCGGGTGCCTGAAAACCTGTATCAGTTCTGCTTCTGTCTTGACTAAAATTTGGTTTTTCCTTTAAAATATTGTTTCTGGCAACTTAAGTGTTACCAATGGATAACTAGATAAAGAAGACATGATATATATTTCATATCTATATATCAAACGATGAAATCTTCCATTTGTCACAACATGGATGGATGAATGGATGTCTAGGGGATTATGCTTAGTGAAAGGAGTCTGAGAGAGAATAAACACATGCTTTCAGATCCAGGGAACATAAGAAACAAGTCAAATGAACAAATAAAACAAAAACAAATCCTTATATATGGAGAGAAAAAAATTGGTGGTTACAAAAGGAGAAGTGGGTGGTGGGGTAGATGAAATGAATAAAAGGGATCAATTACAAGGTGATGGATAGAATCTAAACTTTCAGTGATGATCATAATATAGGGCATAGAGATGTTGGATTATAATACTGTATACCTGAAAATTATATAATGTCATAAATCAGTGTTACTGCAATAAAAATATCTTTAAATAAAAAAATATATGTATATTGTTTCCGGGCCCTCCCTGGTGGCGCAGCAGGGTAAAGCACAGCACTAAGAAGATAAAGCCACTTCAGCATGAGTTGGATCCCCACCCTGGCACGGCAGACCTCTCCTGACCCCATTCGCTGCTCCCCTCAGCAGTGTATTTCAGTCAATCTGCCTGTTCTACTCCCCACTCTGTCTCTGGTGAATCCTCTCACCGCCCCTGCACCTCTGGTCTGTACCCCAGTTCTGTGTGCATAAACAAATAAATCTGTAAAAAATACATATTGTGGGCTCTCCTTGTGGTGCAGCAAGTTAAAGCACAGCACTGAGAAGCTAAAGCTACTTCAGCATGAGTTCAATCGTCCCCTGACCCGCCTGCTGCTCCCCTCAGCAATGTACTTCATCAGTATGCCTGTTCTACACCCCACTCTGTTTCTGGTGAATCCTCTTACCAACCCTGTACCTCTGGCCTGTACCCCAGCTCTGTATGCATAAATAAATAAATCTTTAAAAAATACATATTGTTTCCTGCAAAACCATCTCTTCACAAGCTCCTCCCTAGCTTGTCCCCACACTAGGACAAGGAAACGGAACAAGTCTTCTAGATTCTGCTGCTATAGTCAGGGTGTTATAGTTCTATTGTCAGTCAAAACCTATCCCATCCCTTTAAGGCTCAGGCCTAGGATTCAACTATGACACCCTCCTGACATTACCATCTGTTACTGTCTGATCACTCTTTCACATCCTCTGAGGATCTGGACACTTCGATCATCATCCTCCCTCAACCCCATTTCATCTCCATTCAGTACAATAAAGATAAGTCTGGTCTCAGAACACCTTTTTTAAGGTCATTTATACCAGTGAAGATGATCTTAATCGTCATCATTCCCTAGAACTGCATGTCCAGCCTTTAAACTTTTAAAAGCATCAGATCAAATAATGACCACAAGTCCTTAAAGCTATATGTCTATATGTTGAAGGAAAGCATCTAACTCAATTCAAACCATGCCTATTTTCTAGGTCCCTCCAAATTTTCCAACAAATAGTCTAGGAACAGTGAACTAGTCTTATCAGTCAGTAATGGAGGAAACATTCTGAAAATCAAGTTCTTGTATGATAGCCACTCTACAAGCAGGCTTTTCTAAAGATAGCAGGCTCATTCTTGCTATGCGAACTCTTTCCTTCTCAAGTGATCCTTCCTAACTCTCCCCTGTGGTCACTACTTTATATTGCCCTAGCTGGAAGACTTCAATGCCATCCCCCAAAACACTGCAACCAAATTCCTATACCTAACCTATATCTGTTCTTTTTCGCAGTTTAATTTCATTTTTTTCCTTCCTCTGCATGAAAAGTTACCTGTCTTAAATACCAGTTTTTCTGAACTTTGCCATTTACTTAGCACATAATATGTGCCTGATAACTAGATTAAAAACTTTGTATGTGTTTTTGCAGCTGATCCTGTGGACTTTGTGAGAAACATGTCCTTAGTTTCCTAATTTTTAAAGATGAGGAAAACAGAATGGCCTAAAGAGGTCACTCAGCTGGCAAGTCAAAGAATCACACACCACATCTATCATTCTTCAGAGCCATGCATGCTCTTTTCTATGTATTGAGTTTTACCTCATTACTAATCTAACTATGATGCTGTGTTGATGGTAATTTTACATGACTAAGGTAACATTTATATATTAACAGGGAATTATGATTTTTTATCACATTTAGGTAGTTTTTAATATCTGGATAATTTAAAACATGCATTGTAGTAACAGTAGCACATAAACACTAAAAAATACATACAGAGTACTAAAATTGTATGTTAAATTTTTTAAATAATTAATATAATAGTTTATTTATCGATTATTTTGTGCATTTTTCCATCTCAATTGTAATCCCCGTGGGCTTCCCATCACCAGATCACCCATGTGCCATCACCATAGTCCAGTGCATTTCCCTCCCCCCACTGTTTTTGATCCCATTCCCCACTCAACCCCCATAAAATGTCTCTGGTATATAGCTGTTCATTATTATTGTTATTTTCTCTCCTGGTTTGTTATACTCCTAACAGGGAAATATTAAGCACTTCTCTTAACCAAAAGAGAAAACTCTAATGGTAGGAATATCATATGCCAGGGTAGATGGGGTATTGAAAACCTGAAAAGTATTTTATCAACTTCTTTGCACATTGGAATGACTATACATTTGTTTTTCTGAACAGTTAAATGTGTTGTTATTCTTCTGAGAGTGCTCACTGAGCAAATGGCCATTTAAATGGCTATTCAAATAAACTATCTTCATTAGTTTTAGTTTATGATTTTAGCTTTTAAACAAAAATTATAAGAAACCCGGGTTACCAAAATGCCATGGTCACTCTATAACAAAACATTTAGATGGGGAAGATGAAGAATGTCTATTTAGAAAGCAGCACAAGAGTCATGAGAAATTCTGTAATCTAGAAGCCTCTGTAGGAGTGAGGTTCTAAAGTCTAAGCTTTAAATAAAGAATTTTCATATATGGAAAATTTTTTAAAAGCCAGTGTTAACTTTTCATAAGGCCCCAGAAACAAAAAAGGGATGAAAGAATTTAAACAGATTTATTGTGGAAGTCACCAACTTTTCATCAAAATCAGTTTTGTCTGCCTTATAAGCAGATCAGTGCCAACATGTTTTCCCAAAATAGCAGAACCAGAAGCACTTTTAAAAACTAAAAGCATCCATTAAATTTAATAGTCACAAATAATCTACTACTTACCTTCTAACCTTGAGGTATCACACATATCCTTTACCACTTTTGCAAATTCTTCAATTTGTACTTTGTCACCTTTGGCAAGAAAAATATTTTTGATGGATCAGCTTCACTAAGCAAGTCAAAGTCCACTAAAACAATCTATTAAAATGTAAATCAGGCCCTCCCTGATGGCGCAGCGGGTTAAAGCACTGCACTGAGAAGCTAAAGCCACTTCCGCCTGCCCCGAGGAGACCACATGGTGTGGCAGACCTCTCCTGACCCGCCTGCTGCTCCCCTCAGCAATGTACTTCATCAGTCTGCCTGTTCTACACCCCACTCTGTTTCTGGTGAATCCTCTTACCAACCCTG